GAGCATAAGCCCCTCTGTCAGAGCCAATTGGCGAAGAGTTAACGCTCAACACGCCAGCTTTTGAAACTCTATACGGAAGCCGCCAGTAATATACATTATTATACATTACACTTACTATGAAAAACCCGATTTCTCAAGAGCATTCAATCGATAGTCAATAGCGAGTGAAGTTGAAATGATAATGCAATATTTGAGGGGGGTATTACATTTATCATCTCGAGTTCAAAGTCTGTCTAGTTTCAAAGCCCTTTTCCTTGTAATGTTCTTTTAAAAACTTTTGCAAACTCAGAGAGCAGCGTTTAAATGATGTTTAAAGAAACAATTATCGAATTCGGCTCTCGCATGATATATGCGTCAGTGACTGAGCGTGAGGTCTAGATGGCTGGATATCGGCCGAGTTCCTTTTTTTGTTTTGCACATTTATGGACCGAGACAAAGTCGAGATCCAAGAAAATGAAAAAAAAAAAAAAAATCAGGTGAATATATAGCCATCTTGACCGATCAAGCTTCGTCAGTATAGGATTTATCACATTGCAAAAAAACTTCGTTTTCTTAAGAATCAAGAATGACTTGTTTACTTCAAGAGCAGGGAAAAAAAGCCAATTGTGTTTGTTGCACAAGAAACTCCCAATCCCAAGCAGGTAATATGGGCCCATTTTACGGTTTTCTTGAACTATTTATTTATATTCTTGTCTTTCAATATCGTTGAATATTTTGTACGAATAAGAGGTGGATAAATAATAAAGATTGCTTTCCTGTTAACTAGCGCGTCTACTTGTTCCCTCTCATCAGTTCAGTCTAAGATTATCTCAGTTTACTAAGCTGGAGACGCACTCCGGCCTCCTGCGAAGTCCGGTGAACACGTCCTCTGATGTTGATACTTCCATGGTAGCCCAATATTTTTAAACCTCCTGTCAATTTGTCGGGTTGTTTATTCATAAGAGGGCTTTCGAAGCTGAAATTCAATTTCCGTGTCGTTGGTTTTCTTACGACCTTTGGTTTTTTATCCCCTGTTTGAACTCTATTTTGAATTCTTACTGACTTGTGATTACTGATAATTCAATCAAACTCGATGTCTACAGTGGAAAACAACAGATGAGAACTTGTTTGTGAACTATGCAAGAAGTCAGTCGATGTTGAGTGGAACAACATGGGAATGACGTAAAGCCATCACTTGGCGTGCCGCTGTTTAAAGCACGTGGTCACAGATGAGTCACCCTGTAGATGCCATTTTCATTGTTAGGCAAATCAACATAACATTGCGGAATTGTTTGTGTCCAGTGTAACGCCATTGAATTAAGACATGTGCCCATTGGCTTGAAACAAGCTCGCTTCTCTTACTTTGCTAGTCTCATTTACTCGAGGAAATGTGGAGAACAGAGCTTCAAGATCTGAAGGAAGAATTTCAACTTGTACGATTCCGTTTATTCTACTCTAACTCCGGCGATTTTGCGGAGTCCCCGGTAAGAATGTCATCAACTTCGAGTATCAGTAAATGTCGCCATTGTTCGCGTATTTGCATGAGCAGCAATCGACTGTTTCTTGTTACTCTGTATCTTTGTCGATAAGTACATTCTACTCAGATAGTAAAGTAAAGAATCTTTGAGCACCTTCATTTTAACTATGTGAAACATCGGACTAACGCTCGTAGCGGTTAACTGTTTGTTATTCGAAAAGATTCCTTCGATCGTCTGAAACAAGACGGATAGTGCAAATAACATCGCTTGCATAACATTTTTTCTTTTTCCGAGAGAAATTTTTGAAAACGGTAGATCTTAATATTTAAAGAAAGAAAAAAACAAGCCCCGTGTGCATTTTTAAACACAATTTTGGGTCCAAAATTTCAGGATACTACATATATCGCCTGGGTCTCGTATTTTGTACTTAAGAAAGCTTTAGATTATTTTATCTGATCGACAGTCACGATTCTAATTTGTCCATTTTGAATTGACTCCTATCAGTTGCAGTGGAGTAGTTTCTGAAATGATCGTCTGAGGAGATCGAACATTGACGTGTTAAGGGAGGTTTTACTGATTTTCTTTGTCGACAATTTCGTACAATTTTCCTTGTTGATTGTACTTAAGACCACCACACACTCGACCCGGAATTATTCGCCTTTTAATTAAACCATTAGAAAAGAAAGAACCTGCAACGCTTCGCTGGATTTACGGCTTCAGCACTATATTTCCGGAAGTTTTAAGTATAAATATGCACTTTTAATTGCGTTTGGAAGACAAACATCCAAAATGTTTTAAAACTTTTCTGAAAGTAGCAAGATTTAAAAAATAGCTAATTTACAGTCCTAAATATTTCTTTGGAACCTAGTTTACAACGAAAAGCAACAAAGCACAGTCCTAATAATCGTGGCTCTGAAGAGTGAAAGAATTACTGGTACCAGAAGCTCACATAGGGTGACAAATCCATATAATTATGACGAAAACAAATTTTTGATGTTTTAAAAAATCATGAAATACTTTAATCGTGTATGTTAAAGCCCAAAATGACTTACGTCAAATTTGCATTTGGCTTTATATTAATATTACCAAATGTTGGTTACCGTAACCAACTTCACCGAATTTGTCTCACGGTTTAATACTTGGGACTCCGTAATTTGACAGATCAGTAACAAAACACCCGAGGGGAATAGGGACTCGCACGCTTTAGAGATGACAGATTCTTATGGAAGCTATAAATATAGATATATATCTATATCAGAAGGCCCCGGTTGTTCAAAGAGCAGATAACGCTAGCCAACAGATGAATCGCTCTTCAGCGGATAAGTGTTACCAAAACGTATTGCGCTATCCACCCTTTGAACAACCGAGGCCTGATGTGATTTTTTTTATTGGAATTACCCACTGCAAGCTCGTCTGGTTTGTGTAGCTTATTTCAGACCGACATACCAAACACTTAAGTTAAAAGTTGTACGTGTCATCTTTGCCGCATATAAGAAAACCTTTCTTAAACATTTTTTTTATATATACAGTAAAAACCCGCAAGTAAGAACCTAAAAATTAAGAACTTGTTAGCCTAAAATTTTCCATTTATACCCCCTATAAACAAGAACCTATTCAGCCTAGGAAAATTAAAATAGGCTCTTATTTTCTAAAATCATATAGTATATTACAGGTACACTGAAATTATTTAGTGTAATCAAAATCGAAGAAAAACCAGATTGCCATTGCTGTAAAACATGATTTTCTTAAGAAAAATGAGTGCAGAATATGTAGTTACAAAATATAGGACAAGTAACAACTTGTTATGCAGGTGTGTTTTTCTCCAAGAATAAGAACCTGTTTTAAGAACCTAAATAGCCTAAAATTTTGTTAAGTACCATTTYTATAAGAACCTGTTTAGGCTAACTCCTAAAAATGTAGGTTCTTACTCGCGGGTTTTTACTGTATATCTCAGTTGGTACCTGCACTATGATTGGTCAAATTAGCGGGCCATATATCACTGTACGGCCCGTTAAGCTCAACAGTTTGTTTGAATTGAAATCTTTTTCCTCTATTTGACCCTAGAGATATGATAAATACAATATCTTACTAACCTCTCTTTCTGGGTACTTGTTATAAGTTACGGAAGCTTGTTTTTTGCGCTCAGATTTAGTATCTCCCTCGCGCTTCGCCCTTGGGCCATAGATCCGAGCAGAAAAAGCCCTCTCCTTAACTTACAGTACGGACTTCGAACTCGGTTACTAAGAGGTATCAGTATATCACAGTTATCATGTCCAGTGAATCCTTCAAACTTTAAGGAACTTTTCCTCTCTGTTTCAGTGGTTTGATATTCCCGTGATATTCACATACCGCCTTATAGTTGCTTTGTACTGCATCGCTTGGACTATCTACAGCGGTTTTCACCCAGCCAACAGAAACCTCAAATGGTTCATTTACCTCACCAACTGGAGCTTCTTGCTTGTGACTTCATACTTCGTACTATCCACTGTAATAACGGCGGTGTACTACAGAGGAGAATGCAGACAGGGAGAATATGATATCGGTAGTCCAGAACCAATTCCATTGAGGCGATCTCGCTCAGGAATTTCGCGTTCTTCGGACATTGATACACGCGACAAGTCGCGCGAAGAGACACGTGCGAAATCAGAATCTCGAGACTCCACGCGACAGAAAGGTAGAAGTCAAGAGGAGGTGAAAGCTTCGGTAAATCCGCTCGAAGTTATGCAAGAGCTTCCTATGTCTCGTCATCATGAAGCATTATGGGTTATATACAATATTGCTGCTAATACGGCCTTGCTCATAACTGCAACAAACTGGGATTACTCTGGTTTTCAAGTCGATGGATTAATAGTTACCACTCAAATCCTAAATACTGTTTTCATCTTGATCGAGACTTTACTGGGAACCGTTCCAATTCGTTTATTTCACGTAATTTATCCAATGCTTTTTACAATTGTTTACATCATGTTTACTGTAGTTTATTGGGCGGATGGAGGTACAAACACTTCAGGTCAACCTTATATTTACTCAAAATTAGACTACAGCGGAAATCCAACACAGAGCATTGGAACTGTCCTTGGGTTCTTCTTTGTCGGTCATCCACTGACTCAACTTGTTTTATTCATTGTGTTTCGGGTGCGACATTGGTTGAGCAAGAAATTCAGCAAAAAACTTATCTGGTGAAAGGAAGAAAAAATTTTCAACACACCAACTGATGCAATTTATCAAGATTTTTCCTCTATTTTAACAGTTTGATTAGTGTAGATCCTCTTCCTAGTTAGAATCCGCCAGGCTTTAATCTTAGGCTTAAAGTGAAGTATTTTGTTGTTCATAAGGCGTAATTAAACTTAGAAATTTCATGACAACGATGGCAGTGGTAAACGATCGAAATTTTTTTAAAATCAGGGGCATAACTGAAAAAAGCATCACGGGGGCCCAGAAGGCTCAAACTCAAGCTAAAAAGGAAACACAACTATGAAAGAGAAATAATTTGAATATATCAACAAAGTTGAAATGGTAAATTGGCCACCGTTACGACTATAAAAGCTGACGTTTCGAGCGTTAGCCCTTCGTCTGAGCGAATAGGGGAATTGTGGGTTGTGTGTGCTTTTAAAGGCAGAAAAAGGAGCTACGTGATTGGTGGGAACATGGCAACGAGAAAAACACGAATAAATATAAAAGAGAAAACGTACCGTACTCGTGAAAAATATCATTTGTTTTTCACAAGCCCTGAACTAGTGAATAATATCAATATTTGGCGCCTGAGTTCAAAAGTTATCTATTTATCTTACCATTTGTTCACATTTTAGGCTGAACACAGAGTCGTTGAATCTCTAATTTACAATTGACGTGTATAGGTCACACCAGACTACACAACGACAAAAAGAGTGCACATGTTCGGCGGATTTGGCGCGTTTGAGGAGTGTTTTGTGATTTGAGCGTGGGTCAATTTCATTTGTGAATGAACAGAACATCGTTTTACCCTTTTTTGGACCGTTCTTGATGCGAACCAAGTGGACAATTTAATAGAGTTTGTTCGTATGGAAAGTTCTGAAAAACTTTCGGAACTAACAGTCGTTACGAACTTCGTAGCAATGTTACGAATGCTTTACATCAGTCCCTAATTTCGCAACTGTTACCGAAACATTTTTTTTTTTTGTCGAGTGAGATATGTGACGGAAGAGGTTCGTCAGAAACTTTCCTGAAAACGGCAACCTTTTCTGTTTTGGTTCGAGCTTATCCCCGCAAAAATAACAATAAAAAACAAACAAACAGACAAACAATGTGGAATTTAAAAATGCCGCCATTCCCTCGCAATAGTGTTGCTATAGAAATATTGTCGTTGCCATTCCAGTGCGCGTGTAAAATTACTCGCGCGTTACGAACATGCGCACACATTTTTCCGGCCGTGAGAACCAGGTTTTCTCACACGAATTACAAACAACCACACACTTCCGTAAGTCACGGGGTTTTAAGAACGCATAACTTTTTTGGTAAAGTATTAAGCAGAATCGTAAATCAATAGGATGCCCCCACTTGTTGGAAAAGTTTCTAGTTTTCCTTTTACCCACTTTTGTTTTCTTTTACAGATTTCTATGAACGTTTCAATTTTCTTTCGCTTATTCTGCGAAACAGCGGTCGTTTCTTAATATGTTTGCTATTGAAGTTGTGCACGGAAAATTGGCTTGCAGCCGACCGCAATTTATCCCCACGCGTATGCACGACGTTTGACCACTGTCTGCGCGAGCTAAAGTTATCACCGTCACATTACGTTTTGTAACGTCATGATTATGATGACGTTACAAACGTAAACGTAACAATTATTTGACGTGCGTCAATTTATCGTGAAAGTCGTTGTTACGATGACTTTCATCTGAAGACTTTCATCTTTCAGCATTTCAATTTGATTTGAGAGATGCGCACAATGTAAACACTTGTAAAGAAGAAGGACATTATTTTTCCACCTTGCCTGGTGGGAAACTTTGGGAGCAAACAGGAAGTTTTCAGGAGAACGTAAAACAAACTACACCGAGAGGTTAGCGAGTTTTCTTTTTTACACATGCAAACAGAGAATCAATTAGAGAAAAAAAACAAAACTAAAGCAATCACAATCCAATTGCCAATCAGAGCAAGGAAAGTATTTCGAGGAGCCAATGAGAACTAGAAGCAAACGAGCAGAAGTGTTTTTTAGCGCGGGAAAACGCTAGTTACTAAGTAACGATTGGTTTTAGTTTTGCATCTGATTGGTTAAAAAAATGGCGCGAGTTTTCTGGACAATCACAGAGCGAAAGAAAACAAAACCAAAACAATCCCGGATCATTTCCGACAGTCAATTGAAAGTTGCTCTAACGAGTTTGTTATGCTAAGGCTACTCGTTGGCGTTTTACAAAATTGCCTTAATTTTTTAGCTCGGTTGGTATCATCAGATTTTTAACGACCTAAACTCCAAGCAAACCATTTCGTTATGGTCCAAAACTCTAAGAGGTTGGAAAAGACGACGCTTCTAAAAGAGGACTTTTCGCTATGGAGAGGAATAAAGTATTCAGCAAACTTTGTATATTATTATAAATTATTTCTTGCCTGATTAGTATTCAATCCTAGAGAATGACGGCCAAACCAAATGGTGTAGATGACATGGTTGAGCTTCCGGAAATCGCGGAAAAGGATATCGGAGAGAACCTTCGCGTTCGACTCAAGAATGAAGTAATTTATGTAAGTCAGTCTTTATTGACAAATTGGTTTCAAAATGCGATTGTACTCCAACTTAATCTAAGGAAAAAATTTTGAAATGTCTAAGCAGCCATATTTTTTCCCGTCAGACATACATTGGCCGTGTGTTGATAGCAGTGAACCCCTTTAAAGCTCTGAACGTCTATGGCTCAGATGCCGTGAATTTCTACCGCGGGGGTGAAGAAGCAGATGATATGAACACACCCAAAATTGAAGACCGTGCAACCCGCTGTACAACTGCCCAGATGCCCGCAGACATCTTGAATGGCAGAAGGAGAAGTTTACAAGTACAACCTTCGAGTGGGACTGGAATGTTCAAGAATATTCAGGTATCTTGAAGCGCTTTTCGATTTTTTGAGTGTCGTAAAACGAAAACCAAAGTTTTTAGAACGCCCGAAAATACCTACAGGTGTCAGAGAGAACTCAAAGTAGAAACAAACAAAACTGCTTAAACACGAAGGCGCGCTATATAAGGAAGTCTTCCCTGGGAAGACCTTGGCTCATTTGTCACTCACCGTTGACTTGTACGGGTCAAATTTAAATACTGGTAGACGAATAAAAGGAGCTAACGAGATATCTATTGTTTACTTCCACCAGCATGGTGGCAAGAGGTAACGTGCGAACCTTCGATCTCAAATTTACCGCCACAGATAAAGACAGTTTCCATTGGAGAAAGGAAATATAAATCTCAAAAATTCTTGTATTGTGATGAAGACATAAAACAATTTTGAGGAATGCGCCCGCTTTTCACTGCTTTGGAGTAGCTGCAGCTCAAGCTGACTTGACTCTAAGAGTTCTACATCACACGACGGTTGATTGACAAATGGTCCAGTGGGACCTAAGGCTCCTTTTATAGCGCGCCTTCGTGTTTAAAGCACGTGAAAACATTGAAAATTGCTCTATGTTTAACAAGATCGTATCTACCTCTTGCCATCGTTTGTAGTTTACTGCGCTTTGATTATTGTATCCAATAACGAAGAAAGAGACTAGCGTCCAAGCTCCGCATTACTATGGATTAACTTATTTTTAGAGTAATTTCAGAGCTGAGCAAAGAGTTTCCAGCAATCTGATTGGTCGAGCGGTTCCTTATAGGACGCTATANCGCTTGTTGGATATGAGATGATTATAGCCAACTCGGCGCTACGCGCCTCGTTGGCTATCTATCATCTCATATCCAACGCGCGCGAGTGGAATAATTGTTAAATAATCCCCTCGACTTCGTCTCGGGGATTATTCGACCATATTCACCTCGCTTTCGGCGAATAATTGTTAAATCTAACTTGAACATTTGGCTTAAATAAAAACTCCAAAAACTTCTTAGAATTCCAAACTGAATGATAACAAATTTGCGTGAACGAAAACTCCAGAACAACAATCAAATTAACTCCGTAAAAAAAAAACAACCAAGATACGCACGAAATGTCCACGTCAGTTTTCAAAGTCAAGTTCAAAGTTCTTCGACGTGATTGGTTAATTTGTAAAATCACGCGCGCCACGCGTGAACACAAAAATAATACAAAGGGAGGAGAGAAGAGGACAAATGAAAAATTTGAAATTAAAAAACGGAAGAGAGTTTATACATGTGTCACAAATATTCTGACTCGTTCTCCTTGAATAGTGTTCATTGTTCCTGTAAAGCAAGAAGCAAGCAACTTGAAAATTTGTCTTTTTAAGGGTCCCAAGCCTCCTCATTTGTATGCCTTGACTAACACCATGTATCAGAGTATGATGATGGAACATGAAAACCAGTGTGTTATTATCAGGTACAAGTCAGTTAACAACTTTCCTTTCATTTACTTTGATGTGAGTTATTAGACTGATCATACCGTTCATGTGCTTTCATTTTCAGTGGAGAGAGCGGGGCGGGTAAGACAGTTTCTGCAAAACACATCATGAACTTCATTTCTAAAGCTTCTGGTAAAGGATCAGAGAAAGTTGAGGTATTACCATGATAAACCGCAAAATATAAGGAAGTGTCAAGTTAGTAGGGACCTGGGACCTTAGGCGGTCAGGACCACAACGCCGGGGATGACGTTCATTGAAAAATAAATTTATATATTTAGTGCGAATTCCAAGAATGGCTGGATATGTTTATGAACAGCTTCGAGTTCAAAATGGATACTGAAATAATTTACTGTCAGGGTTTCCTTTCTTAGACCACGCAAATTTTGGTGATTTCACGTTGCTGTTTTGTAGAAGGCGGCTAAGATAGGTACAAAAGTTTTAAACGCACGAGCTGAACTTTCGTTTTGCCCATCGCATTTTTTTGTTTTGCTGCGTCACGTCCTCGTTGCTGTCGCCGTCGTGGTTTGCTTAAGGTTCCTATTAACACTATTAGACTCCTTCTGCGCCCTCGAATGAAATCTAAATCCCTCATTATCAAAATAAAAACAAAATAAAGAAGCTGAGCAAAAACAAAACACAAAACAAAACAAGAATAGAACAAAAGGATCTCCGATCACCCACTCAAAAAGCCAGAACTAGCCTGAGAGTTTCAAAGACAAAGAGGTGATTGGACTAAAGAAAGCACTAGTTCTGGGTCACTTTTTAACGAACATGATTTTTTTAAACTGAGGTTCTGTACTGGTGAACAGCATAAAAGTATTCCGAATACATTTTTGTGTCATTTTGTGTAAATATGTGACGACAGAATATCAAGGACATCATCATTCAGTCCAATCCCTTATTGGAAGCCTTTGGCAACGCCAAGACCACGAGAAACAACAACTCAAGCAGATTTGTAAGTTTTCTCGCAATAAAATTACGAAAATGAAACAAAACCAAGTAAAGTAATGAAATTTACAAACAAAGAC